CACGACCTTGGTTTTCCTCACCTCCTCGAGGACGACGTCCTGCGCCTCCTTCGGGAAACTCTTCTCGAAGAACATGAATGGGAGACCCCCACCCTTCCCGTTGACGAAAGAACGCAAAGCAGCTAGCCCTTGCTTGTCGACGTTCGGTAGACTCGTCTTCAGCTGGTCCGATAGGCTGAACTTGTTGCCGCCGGGGTGTTTGTGCCGTCGCTTGTACGGGTCGGATGACTCGTCCCGGGGTACTCCCTCCAACACCCACCCTTTGGGATCGTCCGGCATGGGAGGGGGGGGTGGGTCACCAGCCTGGAAAAGGCCAACAAAAAACACCAGGGACGGGTATCGGTAGAGGGCAACTCAAAAATACACCCGAAAGAAAAATAGAGTCGTACAGCAGCACCGAACAACACACGGCGCAATGGTACAAACATACATTACGATTCGTCACAGTACGACAGACACATAGCAGTATCGCCTACGGCAATGAGCGACACACACATTTGTCGTTAGTCAGCCGTCTACATTGTGCGGGGTCGGTGCTACTCCACAAACAGTGAACAAGAAACGTGTGTAGACAGTGTTTATTGTACCTAATCAAAGCACACTGTTGTGTGCTTCACGGTGTTTTCTCACGCAGACGTACAATTTAATGGAAACACACCAGCGCTCAAAGGTAGGCGAAGCACTATGTGGCGCACCTTTGGTTTTGGGAGTTTGTGGTGCTTGAGGTGCCACACACTCTCCTGCGCTGCCCTGAAGCTCTCATCCTGGATTTTCCCGGCCTGCGCGTAGTGCAGTTCCCTGGACTTCGCTATGACAGGATGCGCACCAGGAGTCTGCAATTCGTCCACGCCACCACCCAACTCCGACTCCGAGTCATAATTCCCTGCCTGGACGCTGTCCCCCACTCCAACAGCTGCACCTGAGGCCGTTTTGCCCGCGCTTTTGTTGTCCATCATGGTGCTTGCAAAACCCTGCTGTTCTACCTCCAACCTTGTTGCCGCACTTTTGCCCGGTCCGTGAGCCGCGGCTAATGATAGCGCCGCATACGGACTTCGTGGCCGGAGAAGGATCCGGTGGGGACGGTTGCTGTTGCTGCTGCTGTTGCTGCTGCTGCTGCTGCTGCTGCTGCTGCTGCTTCTGCTGTTGCGGCTCACGCGACGTTGTCCGGAGCAGCTCCGTCAACGGTCGTGCCGGGGTCTGTTGTTGTTGCGAGTTTGAGCTGTTGGCTGGAGCAGGCTCCGGTGATGGTTGCTGCTGCTGCTCCCACTGCTGCTGCTCCCACTGCTGCTGCCCCCGCTCTGCTGCCTCCCGCGCTTGCCGCTTCGACTCCGCTATCCGCAGATGCATCGGTTGTCGCCGCTCACGCGTGGCCGTCCGAGCCGGCGGCGTGACCGGTGATGCTGGGGTGGGGTGCTGCTGCCGCTGTTGTTGATGGTGCCGAGCTGCCCCCTCGTGTTGAGACCAGCGTTGTGCGAGTTTGCAGCATACCGCGCTCGGGACTTGGGGACTAGATCAAACTCGTCGTCTGAATCCCCATCATCGCTAGGCTCATGTGGGTCGATGTCAGCCGCGCCGTCCTCCATGCCAGCGTACAAAGCGAGTGTGGACTGCTGCACGCGGGAGACGGGCGCCAATGTAGAAGCAGGAATGCCAACTGGCGCTGCTGGTAGTGCAACCGCAAGCGCTACCAACAACGCCGCCCAGATAGACAGGGCAGACCACGCGGGGCGTAGATGCCTCCCCATGACCTCTCGGCGCATCCTTTCGTGGTTTGTGCGTGGCGTGTGTGTGGCGTGCCCTCGCTTTTAGCATGCTGTGCTGTACAACTCCTCTGCGTGCGGGTTCGGGTTTTTTTCCTATCCTCCCCTACACGACTAGACCGTCTGTTCAGCCCGATAAAAAAAAAAAAATGGATAAAATGATCAATCAATGATCTCTCAGACCGGCCGAAGACTCCAAAGGGTTAACGGCGATTCGATAGAAGGTTTCGAAATAAATTCCCGGCGCCCACGTGCGGGTGGCTTTCGTATCCGACATCTACGTTCGAGAACACCCTCGTCCGACCACTTAGAGATATACACGTCAGGACCGCAAATTGATTGTGGCTCGTTCCTCCGTCAAACGCTTCGGATTGGTTGAAAGCCTTGACGTGTTGTCTCTCACCATCAGGCCTTCGTCTTTGGCCAGGCGGCAAAGCACTGTCGAACGTAGCGCCGGGCACCACTCCATGACGTTCATGGCGTCCAACATGGCGTCGGCGGCCTCAGGGATAGAAGAGGCAACTGCTTGCTTTGACGTCGCCTTCCGCAATTTCGACAACAAGCAGACACATCGGGGCAGGCACGTGGATGTTAGATCGTGTGCTGTGGATGAAGGAAGGGAGGCCGTGTGACCTGCGTCACACGCACGAAGTAAACCGCGGAGTCTGCTAGTTTGATATTATAGGCCATACCTTTCCCGTCCAGCTCGAAGGGGGGGGCGGGCGAGAGACATAAAGCGGTCTCAAGTGTCGCAGCGGTCGAGGAGGGAACGTGCCATAAAAAAGCCTTCTGTGTACCAGAAGGGTTAAGATAAACCCTCGTAGTAGGCAGTCAGTGCCAGGTCATGGGTCATCAATAAATCGCGTCCCATCACTGGGGAGATTCTGTACAGTCCTGACTTGGCTCCAGTGTGGAAAGTGTTGCTGAAGCCAGTCAGCCAGATTTTAGCAGTACTACTGCTGCATGCTATGTGTACAAAGTATGCACAGGAGCAGTTTTACGAATAAGGGGACCCGCGGCTTTCGGATCTGTGTACAACAAGTCAGAGGGCCCCAGGAGAGGCCCACAACACACAGGTATTACAAAGCAGTACCGACACAGCGTATCGCCTCCACAAACATGCTATGCACATTAGGCAAAGGTTTCCGACATACATTTCACGCAGCGGAGCATGGTGACGACCACGGCGCGGCACACAGGCAATTTGAGAGCCGTGTCCCCAGAGAGTATCCATTTGGGCTTACATCAGTACTGTGGAAGCCAGGATATTCGTTTCTTCTTATATTCGTATCTTCTTATAACTTACACACACACATACGAAGGGAGTAAAGAACCTTCGACAGACGATAACTCATCGCTCTGCTTTTGGGTCATTTACTACTGTACTCCATTCTTTGCTCCGACAGGAGTCGTGGTGGATCTTTACGGTTGGTACCGAGAGCCAAGAAGGGTCTCGGCCAACGCCTACTCGCAACCTTACCCTAGCCTTGACCGAGCACGCTCGGTCACCGCTTGACATTCCTCGTCACATCTCAACAGAGGAAACTAGGCTGCCTCCGGTGGTAGGCATATTCCACCTCGCCATACTGGGAACTCAGCTCACACAGAGTTGAGGGTATTTACCTCAGCTCACACGGTATTCATAGTACTATGCATACGAGGGAGAAGATAAAAGGATGAGACGAGGTGGAAACGTCGTCGAGGCGAAAGGGCGAAAGGCCGGCTGCTTGAAGGTCATAGCCCACGCAGAAGAGCAACAGGAACGAGGCTCTTGAGAATGCGTTGTAGGTGTAGTCTAGAATGGAATGTGTGGCTGATACGCCATGCAACAGCAAACCAACAACCAGGTACTTGTAGGTTGTGTACTGCAACTAGGGTCGAAGTGGTCCTGTTGATCTCGTGAGGACTGGAGTGTCACGGAGCAGAGGCTTGTGCGGTAAGAAATACGGAGAGGAGATAAGTTTCGGCGACGAAAATGTAGAGCCGTGCTTGCACCTCCCCCCCCCCGCGCGCGTGTGTCAACGCCGGCAAACAGGGGACAACAAAGCAAACGGGTGTCACAGCACACGAATCAAAATTCTAAAATTCTCCGGGATGTTGTACTGTACGTAGACTTGAGTTATTGACTTCTACTGCTACAACCGCCGCTACATTGGAATTTTAATTGTTGCTTTTAAGAAGATGGAGTCTCTCGAATTTGTTTCCAACAAGGGTTGTGTGGACAGGAGGCGCAGATGCTAGCGATTGAGATCGGAGAAGGAACACGGGAAAGGCCGGCAGTCGCACATCATGCTACATGGATAGGGAGATCGGTGGGATATAGCAGCAGGAGAACGTCGGGGTTTCAGACTTCAGCCCTGGCTGATGAACAGTTCAGCGTGTGGCCTGCAGCGAGCCACGCATGATACTGGGACAAGAGCACGACATGCACTTGACTAGAACTATTGTACAGTAATCGGAGACTGTGTGCGAGATGTGTGCTCTAACGCCCGAGTTCTCACCTCCACTAGATCCGCGACGGCCTGTCGGGGGTCGACGTTCTCGTCCTCCTCTTCCATATCGAAGACGGCCACACGATCTGTTCTTGCCGATGCCGGACCCGTTGGTGTGGCGGCGCTTGTTGCTGGAAGAACCGCTCGAGCCGCCGCTGGAGGACGACCCTCCCCCAGAAGAAGAGCTGTTGCGGGCGGGCCTCCTTTGCGATTTGGACGACGACGGAGCGAGACGGTGCTGGTTCTGGGACATGGTGAAGGTGAAAAGGAAGGAAAGACGGGACAGAGGATGGAAGAAGTTGTGGTTGCATGTGGCGCTAGCGCGTGGCGCGGAGAACTCCCGCAGAAGGCGTTCATCAGGGGAACGAAGGTTGATGAAACGCCCCCCTTTGTCCACCTATCCCTCCACGCGTCGCCCCTCTCCTGTCACCAAAGATCGAGCGAGGCCTGTCCACGCGGAGGTCGCTCGCGAGCCACGCCCTCTCAGCAGCCAGTCAACACCAGAAGGGGGGTGAAGCACGTACCCCCCCCCCCCCCCTGAAGAATGCGGCCCTGAGCCCCCCCTCGAGTGCCCACGGGTGCGTCGGCGAGGTGCGTGTCATCAGCGCGTCAGCGCAAAAGGGCGGCGTGAGTGGAAGATCCGGTGATGCCTCCGAAGATGGATATTTATGTTGGTGGCGGGTTTGTTTGCACGGCTGCGCTAAAAGATTTACTCGCCAGCGAGACGGAACGAGTCACATAGGCAAGTGTTCAGCTTCCCCACCACACCCGCCGTCGCCTTTCCCAAACGACGTGAATGAGACTTCTGATTCGGTAGACGGCGGTGGACAAGATGGATACGATACCTGGGACGGCCTGTTCGGCGGAGACAGTGGAGACGGGCTGATGCAGGCATCGGTAAGATCTTGATTTACGCATTCACCATCACGCCATCACCTTTTTTTTTTTTTTCGACACACTCCAGCAGTCGAGATCAACATACTCAACGGATACGTACAACCAACCACAAGCAGTTTTTTTACAGTGAAAACTTCGCCGTTCATAGCGCGCATGTACGTGCCCAGCCTGCCGGCCTGTGCTGCTATTTTATGGGTGCCCCGATAAAAGCATACAGCGATGATACAATAAGAGGGTGAGGTGGAATACTGTAGCCTTTTCGTGGGAAAGAGAAAAAAGTACCTGCTTTGTTACCGTTGGGTCGTTTATGCCACACAGCGGCAGTGTTGAGTCGTGGGGCGTGTGTGATTTACAGAGATGGGGGGTGGTATTCATCATCGTGGACTAGAAGGGGAGATGAGTGTTTTGATGAGCTATGTATATATAGCAGCATAGGAAAAAAAGTCTCTGTTCCTCTCTTTGGTTCGAGCTTTCATCTACAGGCAACTCCAAAAGCGTGTGAGTTGTGACCAAACTAGCACACGGAAGGCACACATGGCATCGTAGGCCCTCGCATACAAGTATAGAGAGGTATACAGCAGTACATGCATCATCAATGGTGGTGTCTAGCAGCGTGGCGGTTGGTGTGTGACTTTTGTCCTCTCTCTCGCTGGTGACTAAAACGCTGCCACTCGCAAAACGCACACAACAACACAACCAAGTTGACACAACTCTTCTTCTTCTCTCCTCTCGCATCCTCCGCCGATAGCTGACAGCTGTATAGTAGGACACACACACACCCCTCGCCCTCCCGGTGGTGTGTGGGTGTCTCCCGCCCCCCTTATGCATGTTATCTGTCACTGTGTAGTGTGCGTCTTGCGACACAGCAGCTCACCGGCGGAATACAAAAAAATATCACGCCTGTCTGGTATTTGTGCGGGGACGCTTGGTTCCGTAAATCAATTGCAGCGCAGATGCTGTGCTATCTCGACGCACCGAGCCAGACTGCAAATGTAGCAGTTGGGACAGGTTGGGGAAAATGCTAATTGTTGTGCACAAGTTTCAGATTGAAATTTGGTTCCTCCTGGATTGTAAAATGGGCTCCAATCTCATGTGTACTTATCGGCGCACAGACACCAGACACCAGGCACCAGACACCAGACACCATCAGCGCAAAAAAATGTCCCCCTGTGCACGATTCTTCTTTGTTTGTCACGTTGGTACATACATGTACATCACGACCCCCCTAAACAACTTTTTTCTTGCTAAAGCAAACAAGCCCCTCGATTGATACGCTCCAGGATAGCATTTATTTGTCTGTCATCACACACGGAAGGAGTGTTCGCGACTTTTTTTTTGCCTTCGTTGCTGAGGGACCGAATTCAATACCCCAGCAGGTTATGCCACATGGGACACCGCAGACAGACACATGTGTGCAAATCTCTTCTTCAAGGGCCTTGATTTTAACGCGAAAATGCCACATACAGTAGAGGAGACCTTTTTTTTTTTGGGGGGGGGGGCTATACCGGGGGCCAAACAAGCCTATCGGCCATCAACGCAAAACACGATGAGGCTTTTGCTACCCGGAAAGCGAGACTCCGGTACTGTGAGCAGCAAATTACAACGAATGGCAAATTGTTTATTTCGTGTTTTGCTGAATCGAAGTACCCGAGTTTGGCTGCGCCCCCACCCCCCATTAAAAAGTGAATCAACTCGTGTTGGCGTTACCCCTGACTGGACTGCATGTGGCACACTGGCCGAGCGGCACCCACACGCGTCGCCTACTTCCTATTGATGGGAAAGAGCTTGATTGAGATGATACTGTGAGCGTGCAAACTTTTCCCGCTGATTTGGCTAGTGCTGCGGAGGCTGATGTGCCCGATTGGTGCAATCTCGGAAGTCCCCTGGTTGTGTGGAGCGAGATCAGCGAGGTAGTCCAAACAATAGTTGTATCATATCGAGCAAGCTTGAGCATGACGCTCGGACCACTGGCACCGGTTGCTGATGCTTAGCTTCGTGTGTGCGCTCATTTAGGTTTCAGCTCCCCATTGGTGCACATACACGAATGGACTATCGCCCTAACTGTTCGCCACCGTGTCACCTCTCGCGGCGGCAGCGTTTCCGCAGCATTTGGGTGTCCCTGAACCTCAATTGATGGATTGACCATGTCCTCTTGTGGCGCCCCCAAGAGGCGTGACACCGAGCTAACTCCCGAAGTGGGGCCTGGTAACATACGAGCGCGAGCAACCCCGTCGACCAAAAGCGGTGCTGCCTATCAGTACGGGCCTTGTAGCGGGTAATCGGAGTTATCGGAAACCACGTACGTTTTGAGCACATATTTGGGTGGGCACCCACAGCTTGCGGCAGACAGTCTACCGATGGGTTGTACCGGCAATAAAAAGAGTTGGCAATTCTGTAACGATCGTAAGAAGGTGTAGACGTGAATACATTTAGCCGAATGTGGCGCTTGAATCTTGGGCGCATTCCCGTGTACGTGCGCACGGAGGTCTGTCATGAACAAAATACTCATCCCCGTCGCTCGCCCTCCCAACGTATTGCATGTCGCCACTTTATAGATGAGGGTAACGATGCGCAGGATGGTTCGGAACTTCGACGAGACGCGAGTTCCGCCAAAGATATGGATGATCTCAAGGATATTCACAAGACGTTGCCAGAGTACAAGGATGCGGAGTGTGTGGATGGAGACGACCCTCAGTTCCTCATCGACGCGCTCCGCAGCAGACACTTTCCTTGGCGAAATCTCACGGAACAGCTGATCGGCGTGTGGGCAGTGACTCACCGGCCCTCGCGAAAGTCTTTGCAAATGCTTCTGGATCTGCTCAGATTTTTCGATCGACAAGGTTGCCGGTTCCGCCCGCAAGGCGTTCCTCGTTCGGCCGAGCACCTCATCAGTCGGATGCGAAAACGACTGCCACATCTCCCGGTTTTCGAGCGAACGATCAAAGGCAAGAACGGCGAACCTGCGAAGGCGATCGACATCCCTTTCAACCTTCTGCTTCAGCGAATGCTTTCCTGCCCACGCGTAGTCGAAGAATGGCGCAAGAATTTCGGCGGGCACGCCATGTCACGTAGCAAACGCGCCGAAAACAACGTACCCGACGAGCACATCACGCCGGTCGCTACGGAGCTAGCGGACAAGGCCTACGAGAATTACATGAACGGCGAAACT